TGAACAGCAAATCGGATTTGAATCCAGTGAACATCCGACACAAGATGACATCGAATGTTGATTAAGGTCCTTTCATAATAAATGATAATTAAACATTTCAGGCCCAAAGAAACACCTCCAATAGACAGATTTAACTCTTGCATAATGTATGCTTAAAGATACATTATGTAAGATTTAGGTAAAGAGCTAGCCATTCTTGCTATAATAGTTTGAAAACAGATAATGTAAAATGAATAATTAGAAAATTTCATTCAAATTACTTTATTGCAAGCGAAGATATTAGCCTTTGAAGGTTTGACGAGATATGTGGAATAATTTCAACCACCGTATTGGTTGTTCGAAGCCAAGTCTCGCTCCTCCATTTTTAAATTAAATCAAAATATGGCTGAATCGTTCTAATCTATTTAAAATCGGGGAAATCAGGTGCCATCGAGGGTTGATTATGGCCTGGATGAGTTAATTAATGTCTAATTAATAATTTAGATAACATTTCAGGCCTAAAGAAAGACCAGCAATAGGCAGATTTAGCTTTTGCATAATGTAAGTATTGGATCCTGTAAAATGTCTTCGTATTTTATCCCGCGGGTATGCGCGTGAAATACCTTTGCATCATCTGTCTAATACTGCGACACACTGATCCGCAGTGAATATTTGGTTGGCCGCGACAATCACTGATAAGGATGACATTGATGCGGCTTAATGAGCTAGAAATATTAACTTTTTTCCTGCGACAAATTAAATTCTAAACCTTTTTTTGTATATATTGGAAAAATAAATAAAGGCGTTTGACGTTAGTGTAGGTAAAAATTATTTCCTATTTAGTATAAATGGGTATTAAAATGACTAAAATGCAGCATTCTCTCCGAAGCAGTTATGTCTTATGTAAACAATGCACGCGTCATTCAGCCAATGATTCACACCGCGTGCTGTGACAGCACTTGTTAAGGCAGTCATCTATGACAGAGGTATTATACGAGACTCGTAATTCTCTATGAAACAGATTGATACTGCGAATGAAACCCATGGCGTAGTTTGCTTTAATATCTTCGTTCTGCGTTCTGGAGTATATGATATTTGTTTCGTCCAAGAGATTTCTCATTTCTCCGTTGACAAGTTCTTTGCCTCTATCCGCTATCATTACGAACGAGAATTATTTCATTCACTTTAGAGCTGTTTTTAAACGTTTAACGGCTGCAGCTGTTTTTTTGTCGCGCCTCATGCAAATCTCGTGAAACAGTCTTATCAGTATGAGTAAAATGTATTTCCGGAATTGAACTCGGTTATATTTAAGGTTAGTGCTAAATGATAAGGCCAGCTTAATTTTTCGTCATCGGTCACGAGATGTAAACAGATGTAGCTAGAGCTAATCCCAACGCTAACCCCGGACTTAGTGCTAAATGATAAGGCCAGCTTAATTTTTCGTCATAGGTCACGAGATGTAAACAGATGTAGCTAGAGCTAATCCCAACACTAACCCTGGACTTAGCCCCAGTGCTCACCCTAATCTACAATCTTGCCAACAATCACGTGCCCTAACCTTATGTACGTCTCAGCGACCTTGACAAAAATTAAGCTGGTCTTAACAAATAGATATTAAATCGGATATATTTATACATCGACGACCACCGGTCACCTCCCGAATCTTTTCTACGCGGGACGATGTAGATAATGCACGCGTGGTTATTTCAAAGCGCCTTTCTGTATTTTCTGTCTGTCAATTTCACGTTTTCCATCTTTTTTTTTTGGGATTCTCACTTTTAAGTTGGTGATTCCCGTCTACGATTTCGGTTCAGATTAAAGTATAGTTTACTCCGATATCGATACATCCCGAGTTTGCGTGGGTCGTTTGCTTCCGTTGCTTGATTTTTTGTGTGATATTATAAATATTATTTATTGATAGGAAAAGCGAGTGTTTTAAAAACGAACACTGGCGATCAAAAAACAACAAACCTGAGCGTGTTTGATATCATTATCAATATACGTCATAACCGAGGTGAAAGGGCCATGGTGAGGCTGCATCTGATCTGTCACCCAATAATCCCCACGTCCGTGATAATCGCTACAAAGTTGTTGATTCCCGCCTACGACTTTGGTTCTTTTGGACTAAAGTATAATTTACTCAAATATCAATACGTTGGTTGCTTCCATTTTGCGGTCTTTTACGTATTTATTTATTTATTTATTTATTCTTCAAATAAAGGTTACAACATGACAACAGACAATATAGCCATCTATTTGAAATAAGAACTATGTGCTGCGTTGTATGATTGAGAAAGTAACAACAATAAAATAGATGTATTTTTGAAATAAGAATTATGTGCTGCATTAAATGATTAAGTATATATTTAATTTTACATGCAATATTTATTTTATTATTTATTTATTCTTCAAGTAAAGGTTACAACATGACAACAGACAATATAGCCATCTATTTGAAATAAGAACTATGTGCTGCGTTGTATGATTGAGAAAGTAACAACAATAAAATAGATGTATTTTTGAAATAAGAATTATGTGCTGCATTGAATGATTAAGTATATATTTAATTTTACATGCAATATTTATTTTATTATTTATTTATTCTTCAAGTAAAGGTTACAACATGACAGCAGATAATATAGATATGTATATGAAATAAGACCTATGTGCTGCATTGTATGCCTGAGTAATGAAATGAAATGAAATGGGGTTTAACGTCCTACTATTCTGCTCCTATACTGGGCTAATGAAGACGGGCATACGCCATACAGTGTGCTATGAGGGAAATTTTGCCCGGGCAGCGGCACTATCGCCTACTCTTATATCGAATTCCAACTGTCAGGGGATCTTTTACGTGCATTCCAATGTCTCATCCGAAGGACTAGACAGCTGTCCTTGTCAGGCCCCCCCTTCCTGCATCACTGACAAGGGGAAACCACGTCGGAAAATCGGGATGAACTTTCTCGGCCAATGCAGGGATCGAACACCCGACCTCCAGGCTAGAGAGCCAGCGCCTTACCCACCTAGCCACCGTGGCTCCGCGCCTGACCAAGTGACATGAGATGAGAATAGAGAAGCATGATAGGTTTGCGCTCTACAGAATTTGGTACAAAAAATAAATAAACAAATCAAATACTATAACTACTAACTTTGTTTTCCAGGAATGGGTTATATATCTATTGCAAAATAACTGTCCAGTTAGAATCCCATTAAAGGAGGTAAACCTGTAACTAAATGTTATATATTATATTCGAAATTAAAAGACGAATTAGAATTCAATATTGTCCTTTGTTAATATGGGATCCTAATATCCAATATTTATGACACAGTGAACATTTTAAGATCAGTTCACGACTCGTGTATTCTATGGACATAATGATTTCGGTCGCCATTTGTAATGAACAAAGAAAAAATCACAGAAGACAATGCACAAGTAATAAAAACATGTCTGTTTCACAAACGACAAAATAATAATAATTTTATAAAATATGTAGACTCAAAAGACACAGACGATTGCCTTTCAATTTTGACTGTTTACCCAACATAAATGATTAGAAATTACAATAAAATTTAAAAATTGAATGCAAAACACGTTATATATACTCAAATTATATTAATGTGTACTTTTAGATTCAATTCGTCTGTTTTAAGGTTACAAAATAGAACTATACACCCTTTAAGAAATACCAGTAGGACAACGACTGTGCTCTTTGGAGATCCACGATGGCTCAGTGAGTAGGACGTTAACTCGCCTACCTGCGTTGGCCGAAAAAGTTCGTCGGTAGTTTCCGGCGTGTTTCCCCCTTGTCAGTGATGCAGGACGGAGGGCCTGACAAGGACAGCTGTCTAGTCCTTCGAATGACACGAAAAACCGAGGTCCCGTGTATACATTGGAATGCACGTAAAAGATCCCTTGGCAGTTGGAATTCGATATAAGAGTAGGCGATAGTGCCGCTGCCCGGGCAAAATTTCCCTCATAGCACACTGTATGGCGTATGGCCGTCTTCATTAGCCCAGCATAGCAGCAGAACAGTAGGACGTTAAACCCCATTTCATTTCATTTCATTTCATTTACTTTACGAAGACATTGTGCATTTTCCACGCACGTTTTACAAGAACAATAAAAGGCAATTTTCAAGAAAATAATCAATTGATTATTCATCAATTCTAGCTTAAAGGCTCAATACCACTCTTGTTGCAACTGAATAATATTTCCTAATCTTTATTCTGGTCAACAAATTGTACAATTTTACAATAATCCAATTAATTGATGATACAAATTCATCTTAACACACCTAATTTAAAAAATTGAAAAAATTCAACTTAATGATTTGAAAAGCCTGACGTAAAGCTTTTCAAATGTGACTTGGATTTAAAAATATTTTTGAACCCTTTGGACAAGTAAAATAGGATTTAATGGATAATTTACACAACAGGTAGGACACTAACACATCTATTACTTAGAATAAGGCTATTTTTTATTTTCTGGAGCTGTCAAGCCAGCAAGAGTGTTATTGTCCCTTTAAAGGAGTATTATGTATGATTTAGATCAAGAGCTGACAGTTCTCGCTGTGATAGTTAAAAATAGATAGTGAAAAGGGAATATGTTGAAAATGTATTATGAGTCGAATTATCGCCGTTATAAGAACAGCGTAGTCCCGATTGGCATTGCTACCATTGTTAATATTTAAAATTACATCATTTTGACAGTTTCAATTGTATTTGAAACTGTTGACAATTTCGAGTATTCGATGACATCGAGTTGGTTATGGTCTTGGTAAGTTAATGAATGTTTACTTAATAATCCATATAACATTTGAGGCCTAAAGAAAGACCTGCAATAGGCAAAATAATGCCTCTTTATGTACAGTGTTCCATTTGATTAAAAATAATCCCACTCAAGCACTGCCGTAACGAAAGAAAATTTCTGTTCCAAATGTCAGAATCGGTCAATAGTCCGATTAACAACCAATACCTAACGACGTAACAATGTGATTCGTGTTTAAACAGAGCTCCACATTGTCAATAAGGCACAAGTAACTTCCGGCCGTATGTCAACATAGCAGAAGCGTACGACGTCCTGGAATTTCAAGAACTTGACGGTGTAATAGATGTAAGTTATTCATAATTTTAATGAGTTTTTTTTAAATTTGTTATATAACATACCATCGGGAGTATAAACCATTTATTTTCGGACATTAAATTATCCGAACACACGTTTGTGTATCATTTTCTACTACATATTATAAAATTATTATTAATAAATTATGATGACATTCACATTTTATTTAGGACTTGTTATTATTTTTATTTATTGTTTTGTGCATATTGTTGTTAGCCTTTGGCATGTCCGTGCCAGTTTTGGCTGGTTTCCCAGTGCCCTTTTCTTGTTTATAATAAATTATAACAAGGGGTTTTACATAGGCTAAGCCTGTTCCCCAATCCCATTCAGACATCCTGAATAAAAATATTGTTTATAAAAAAAAAAATGTGTATTCTTTACTACAGCTTTTCTTTGCTAAAGATTTGTTTGAGACATCTCAACCTGTCGTTCCAGTAGCATCCGTAAGTTTTCTACATATACAACATACATACATATAGTCACATAGTGTTCGTAGCAAATGGGCAAGTTTTGAAACTCATTATAGTCTCGACCATGTCTATATATTTTTTTTCTTCTTAAACGATCAAATTGCTTTGGAAATGAAATGAAATGGGGTTTAACGTCCTACTGTTCTGCTCCTATGCTGGTCTAATGAAGACGGGCATACGCCATAAGGTGTGATTTAAGGGAAATTTTGCCCGGGCAGCGGCACTATCACCTATTCTTATATCGAATTCCAACTGCCAAGGGATCTTTTACGTGCATTCCAATGTATACAGGTGACCTCGGGTTTTCGTATCATCCGAAGGATTAGACAGCTGTCCTTGTCAGGCCCTCCGTACTGCATCACTGACAAGGGGGAACCACGCCGGAAAATCTGGATGAACTTTCTCGGCAAATACAGGGATCGAACACCCGACCTCCAGGCTAACGAGCCAGCGTCTTACCCACGTGATCCCAAATTGCTTTGGAACAATTTCTTTTATTTTGTATAATATTTACTTTAAAGGGACAATAACACTCTTGCTGGCTTGAAAGCTCCAGAAAATAAATAATATCTCTATCTAAGTACTAGATGTTTAAGTGTCCCACATGTTGTGTAAATTATCCATTACATCCTATTTTACTTGTCCAGAGGGTTCAAAAATATTTTTAAATCGAAGTTTCATTTGAAAAGGTTTACGTTAGACGTTTCAAACCATTATGTTGAATTTTTTAAATAAGGTGTGTTAAGATGAAATTTGTATCATCAATTAATTGAAATATTCTAAAATAGTTAAATTTGTTGACCAGAATAAAGATTGGGACATATTATTTAGTTACAACAAGAGTGGTATTGAGCCTTTAAAGAACTGTATTAATTTGGTATCAAGCTCGTAATTAGATAAAATTGTGAGGGAAATTATAACCTCCAATCCTGTCTTTGGTTGTGTACAGATTTACACTGGTAATTTTAATTCATAGCTATTGATTTTGTTTGGTTTTTATTTATGTTGTTTTCATTGCTATTTATTTTCTTTTTAAGATTCAAACTAATCCAGTTAAATTTAATGGGAAAGTTCAAGTAGTGGTTATATGAAAAATGATCTGATGTTCACATGATCTCAAGGGTTTGCCGAACCTCAATCGAGTTTAACCTCAACAAGGAATATTATACATCAAAACTTGTCATCTGCCTGTGCATTTTCTAGTATAAGTTTATCATCATTTGGAACAAATGGTTAAATTACTATTCAAGATGACTAATTTAAAAAACAAGAACAACAATATGTGGTTGGAATGATCCAAGGCTCTGTTCAAAGATATATTATACACATGACAGTGATGCTTGTTAAATAAAACTTGTGAATTTAACAGATAATGACCATTGATAAACACTAAAGGCAAATAGAAATGCACAAAAAAATCCATAAGCTTATGATAATAATGATTAAACATACATTATGCAAGAGCTAAATCTGCCTATTGCAGGTTTTCTTTAGGCCTGAAATGTTTTCTAAATTATTAATTAGACATTAATTAACTTATCCAGGCCCTAATCAACTCTCGATGGCATCGGATTTCTCCAATATTAAATAGATTAGAACAGTTCAGCCATATTTTGATTTAAGCTAAAAATGGAGGAGTGAGACTACTTCGAACAACCAGTACGATGGTTGAAATTATTGCACACGTCTTGTCAAACCTTCAAAGGCCTTCAAAGGCTAATATCTTCGCTCGCAATAGAGTAATTTGAATGAAATTTTCAAATTATTCATTTTACTTTATTTATCTTCGAACTATTATAGCAAGAATGGCTAGCTCTTTATCAAAATCTTACATAATGTATATTTAAGAATAATTTAATACATTTATAAAGCTCACACATTACAAGTTGTGCACCTGTATAAAATTTGTATAAATTTTGTTATCATTGTTAATATTTTATACTGAGATGCAATAAAAATAATACATCACTTTTATAAATGGATGAATGTAAATCTTGTTTGAAATGAATCCAGGTTTAACGCCCTACTTAGTACTTTTCAGCTCAATTTTGTTTTAAAGATTTGCTTTAATCTTGCAATTAAGGATGTAACAACATCATATTACGATGATAACATGTGAGAATGTTTTGAAGATTGCGTAAACGCACCCCGAACAATTCTCAATCAAAAAAATTAAACCCAACAGAATCAGTATGTTGATTTTTCTGGTACACACGTGGGGTATATAATGCAGCTTTTAAAAAGCTAGGTTTTGTGCAACTGTGGAAGGTGCAAAGTTATGCCACGTCATCTCAGAGGTGCTATTTCATTGCGTCTCGATATATTTTGTTTACAATTATCAACCTGGCCCCAAGTTCACAAAGCATTCCCAGACTTAATAATTTGCTCAACTTTCAATCATTGTTTTTGAGAAATATCTTTGATCCAGAAACACAAAACTTTGCACATAGTTTCTTATTGATATATTTACATTAAAACAACAATAGTTAGTAAAGTGCTATATTTAAGTTAAAATAAGACAAACAATTTTGAGTAAAACCTTAACTTAAGACTGAGAATGCTTTGTGAACTTGGGGACTTGTTTTCTTTTCATTACTTATTATCTACAATACAGTAATAACAAGAAATAAAAAATCTGTAGAACACTGCTGATTAAGTTCTAGATTTAATCCTAGATTCAATCCCATTTATATTTTTATACTTCCAATATCGATATTAATTCCAATAGAGCCAGGTGATGTTTAGTTTAATTATACACTTTCTATTTTGTTGTATGAAATTATCTGTATAATCTGTGTTTTTGTTACTTTCATTGTGTGAAATGCTTGCAGCAAAGTGCTGTAAATAAAATACCTGACATCACTGATCACAGTTTAACTCTATAACTTCTCATTTGACCTCAAATCTATGTGGAGTGGAGTCAGTTGGAAGAAATAAATCAAAATGGAGTGAAATCTACATTTTAATCAAATTCGTACCACATGATTATATTCTATCACTTTTTGCTCGTTTATATGGCAACTATATATTATTGCTAAGCTATTTTTGAATTGTAAATTACATTTACAAGTATGTAAATATTGATTCTTTGAATTATATATTTTCAATCAAAATCTGAATATGCAATGTGCTATGTAGCCATATATGTGAAATAAACTATTATTATTGCTATTTACTTTCTCTGTAAATCTCTGTTAATCTGTCGACAACTCAAAAAATTTCGATTTGAGTGTCCTCAAGAAAACTATTACATACAGAAGCAAGTACACAGATTTCGTAATTTATATGTTGACTTATTTGTGTTCATGAAAAGATCAACCTGTCTGATATATCTTACAGTTGTAGGTTGACATTGAGAATAAGACTAAATGTTTTGATGTTATGCCCCTACATATCTTCATATTCTCAACAGTTCTTATAAGTAAATCTATAGATGTAATTTTAATTTGAACAGGAAACAAAAATTCACAATTCAAGTCCTTGTCTATGGTTAAATGGTATGTTACACTTTTATCTTCAGTTTTAAACAGATAGATATAATCACTTGAAGACTGACATAGCCACAAAGCAGGCATTTGACATAAAAATGATTTCTCCAACATCTGAAAGGTTACTTCGTTCATATGTAAACATTGAGTTTCCTCGGTTTTCCTTGGACTCTGAATAAAATAGACAAATTCATAAAACTCAATTAAAACAAGATACATGTATTCATAATTTTCTCGGTTTCTGAATAAAATCGAAAAAATTACAAAAGTAAATATAAAGAAGAATCGGATATTCATACAAGTATTTATAAATAAAATCATGGGAGATTACAGAAAGAGCTAGCAGTTCTCATCATAATAGTTAAAAACTAGATAATGTAAAGGGAATTTGCTGAAAATTCAGTCAAATTGATCCACCCTGTACCGAGTATTTAGTGGTTGAATTTTGGGCCTAGCCTCGATCATCATTACTAAGGTCGGTACGATAAAAAAAAAAACATTGTCTCGATTATCCATTTTTTGATTTAATCAGAAGTAGCAGACTGGGCTCTAATCCAGTATATATCACAGGCTAGCGATGCCATCGAGCGTTGATTATGGTCTGGATAAGTTAATTAATGTCTAATTAATAATTTAGATAACATTCCAGGCCTAAAGAAAGACCTGCAATTGACAGATTTAGCTCTTGCATAATGTCTGTTTAATATTGATGAATTAAATGTTCATATACTGATCTTTTATAAGGAAACATCGAATGTTCATAATTATAATTAAGTTAATAGAAATTTAAGTTACCGGTGACTTCCTTGGATTCAATTTCTTTGTTGTTACGCTTTTCTGTAGAAGAATTAAGGTTGATAGTCTCCCTAACCCTTCTTTTAATCTTCGATATGTGGACCCAGAATTTTTGTAAACATCTGAAATATTCATAAAATCAAAATAAAAAGGTTCCTACATACAAAACAAAAGGTTCAGATATAATTATTTTTTTTCCATGCTTGTTGATTATTCATACCGGGAACAAGATTATTTCGGAATTTAAAAATAAAAGGATTTGACAGGTCAAGGTCAGTCATAAATAAATATACACTTTTAATTTTTATGGAGCTGCTCAGTTAAAACTTTGACCTTTAAAAATAAATAATAATTAGTAATTCATAAAATTAAAGTAAAAGAAGATTGTTGAGAGAGAATCGTCATGCTGTCACACACTCGGGTGTAGTAATCGTCAATTTCATAACAAATTGAAAGTAGACTAGGCCTAGCTACGGCACTAATGTAAACAAACCTATATGCATACAACTTTGATGAGAGAAGGGGTAAAATCTAACGGGCAAACATGAAAATACAGACATTCAGCTAGTATGGGTTTAACTTAACTTCATTGTTTCATTGTAGGTTGTCAGGGTGGACTGCCAACAAGAATCTACATAATTAATTTCTTTTGAGTTTTCACTTACTTTTTCAACGAAATAATCCGGCTCAACGTGTCTTGAACATATTTTCAAGGTCTTGTCATTTATCGGGTCTGATCTGGTAGACTGTATGATACGTAATGATTCTCTCTCCACTCTGTTGTTTTTGGGTAAGCGATAGAATGATCAACCCCGATTTCTTTTATTGCAGGCGGAACATCCGAATAAAACACAATTCGCGCCAGGCATTTTGTTAGTGCGAGCAAAAACCGGAAGTACGCTGTGCCCGATATCAGCGTCAGAAGCCCGCCGTCACATAAGGTAGTGACGTCACACGGTGGGCGTTCCCGTTAGTATTCTAGTTCTATGATTAAACGAAGGGCTGTCATGTTGCTGTACTTAGGAGAGATTTGATTGAACGGTAAGAATAGACACACTCCTTTAAAAGCTCAAGTATCAGAAGTCAATCCAGCAATGGCCAGAGAGGGATTTCTCGGGCCATTGCTTCAGGAATATGAAATGAAATGAAAAGAAAAGAGGATTAACGTCCTACTGCTCTGCCCGTACTGGGCCAATGAAGACGATCATACGCCATACAGTGTGCTATGACGGAAATTTTGCCCGGACAGCGGCACTACGGTCTACTCTTATATCGAATTCCAACTGTCAAGGGATCTTTTACGTGCACGCCAATGTGTACACGGGACCTCGGTTTTTCGCCCCATCCGAACGACTAGACAGCTGTCCTTGACAGGTCCTCCGTCCTGTATCACTGACACGGGGGAACCACACCGGAAAATCGGGATGAACTTTCTCGGCCAATGCTGGAATCGAACGCCCGACCTCCAGGCTAGCGAGCCAGCGTCTTACCCACTTAGCCACCGTGATCCCCTTCGGGAATATGCTTTAAGTACTAAATGCCATTGGAACAAGTTAATAACATATCCGAATCCTAAAAATAACTAATTGTATGATATTAGATAGTCAGTAATATGGTAATTTAGCCCAGAAATGAGACATCTTTTATTAAACAAATCATTATAGTACTACAAATAGCCATACTGCAGGATCATCACGTCACGTGGGTTCCACATACGTCATTGGTGTTCAGTATTTGTCATTGTCAGTATATATTTAACTAGTGTTACGTTTATTGAAATGCTGGAAATAGTTCTGATCAGTCCTTTAAAAACAAAATATGAGTCAAAATTAATAAATTTTATTCAAATCATTCAAATAAATGGTTTGGAGGAATACGATAACGATTCCTAAACCTGAGTATAAAGTACATCCACTCAAGTCACATCTGCCTATATCATGGACCTACTGTTTAAACTTCATTTTATTATGGGGGGGGGGGGGGTAGCGCGTGCGCGTTGTATCATATGGTCTGTCATTGAGTCAACTGGCGTGGTTTCGATTCCCCGGTTGTACTTGACAAGGAGTAGGGTGGCCTGTCCAACCTCGTGGGTTCTCTCCGAGTCTTCCGGTTTCCTCCCACTGCTAAAGACCTCTACGCGCAAGCGCATTATTGAAATAAAATTAAACCATATTATGTTTGTCCCGAAATGACCTAGTTTGTGACGAATGGACGTTAAACCACATCTCTCTCTCTCTCTCTTATTTTATTATAAGATGACCCGCCTACACGGTGTGACCCCCTTTTTGTTTTATCACGCCTTCGTTTATATGTAAAAAACTCTAAATCAAATGAACATGTCAATAACATCACGCATAATGTATTGGACGTTAAATTGGTAATAAACAACAACAACAGAGTCACATTTCTACCAGTTTGTATATTAATTCTCAAATTAACGTTTTTCGGAAAAATTTTAAATCAATTGCGAGCTTAGTTTTGAACGAGAGAGAGAGAGACAGAGAGAGAGAGAGAGGGGGGTGGGGAGAAAAATAGTGTTTAACATCTACTCAACACAAACTAGATCATTACGGGACTAACATATGGTTCGCGACTTTAGTAGGTCTTTAGCAGTGGGATGAAACCGGAGGACCAGGAGAAAACCCACGAGGTCGGACAGGTGACCATACTCCTTGTCACGTACAACCGGAGAATCGAAACCACACTAATTAACTCAATGACAAAACCTGATGATACAACGCGGACGCGCTGACCATATAGCTATCCAACCCCCTTTGAACGAAGACCATGCATGATGAATGATGAGAGCAGTTGGACAGTGTCTCTTTAAGAAAACCCACCCACGAGCATACATTCTAAAAGGCTATTCTTGGTATTTTGTTTTTACGACATCAATGTTTTCCATCATTCACCATCTGTAAATGTCAGAGGAAGAGAGATCTGGTCGGTCTAAATCGCAGGATTTACATCATCTGATTGTGTTAGGATGTAATGTGATAGAAATATTATACTAACAATTCTTTCTTTTAACCATCTAAATCTCAACACATGTTCCAGCTCACGTAATCTAATTTTACACACATCTTAAACTGGAATGAAATTCTGTTTTTCCACCGTTAACGTAAACTTCAGAATAATAATTGGGGATATTTTGCTACTGTGAAATATTCATGGAAATTTTTAATAAAATATTGTTCAGTAAAACAGTATAATTCATCCCAATTTGTACAGAAGAATATTTTTAAAAAATAATATTATCTTTGGACGCGTAGCTGGTCTGATTAAATTATTGACATTTCGAAACATTTAAAAAAACCTGAAAACAGTTATGTAGAAAATTCGTTTTATAAATATTAGCATACTAATATCATCTGTTGATTCCATGATGGTGGATAAGGTAGCCGAGTGGCTTTAGATCCATCATACGGTCTGTGGTGTGTATGTGTGTGATACAATCTGATTAAAACACAGAGCCTATTTCATTTCATTTTTTATAGTTCAAAATTTCATTTTATTTGTCTGTACTACACTACGATCTGGAAGAGCTGATATACAACATGAGCTCTGAATGGCGTGAGGGATTAGCCAATGAAACCATCTGTTACGGCGACTTCTTGGCGTGCGATGCGCACGCACGGAACTGTGGGTAAACCACTAGTAATGAAATGAAATGGAGTTTAACGTCCTACTGTTCTGCTCCTAACCTGGGCTAATGAAGACGGGCATACGCCATACAGTGTGCTATGAGGGAAATTTTGCCCGGACAGCGGCACTACGGCCTACTCTTATATCGAATTCCAACTGCCAAGGGATCTTTTACGTGCACGCCAATGTGTACACGGGACCTCGGTTTTTCGTCCCATCCGAACGACTAGACAGCTTTCCTTGTCAGCCCCTCCGTCCTGCATCACTGACAAGGGAGAGCCACGCCGGAAAATCTGGATGAACTTTCTCGGCCAATGCAGGGATTGAACACCCGACCTCCAGGCTAGCGAGCTAGCGTCTTACCCACTTAGCCACGTGATCCCCGTAAACCACTACAAACGTCTGCGCTGATTGATTAATCAATGTCTGACGTCATACGGTCAAAAGACCTTTTACTACAACCGGTCAGATCTTCATGTAGTGTATGCCATCGAAAGTATAAAAAAAAACGAAACGAAATATAGATATGTATTTTAATCGGATTGAATGTGATAAGGAGTAGTATAGACTGCATACCGTGTATTGAAGAAACATAGCCCTATACATCTGACGCGTATCTGGCATAATAGGTCGAATATTCCCGTGACGCCACTGTCTTTCTATTTGACGGCGCGTATCTTTATTATCCTCTGCATACGGTCTGTCATGGAGAGAGAGAAATGAAATGAAATGAATTAGGGTTTAACGTTGGACAGGCGACCCTACCCCTTGTCACGTACAACAACCGGGGAATCGAAACCACGCCAGTTCACTCAATGACAGACCTTATGATACAGCACGCACGTGCTAACCATTCGGCCATCCAACCCCCCGGTTTGTCATGGAGTCTGGTGTGTATGTGGTAAAGAGTAGTAGGGACTTGCATACCCTGTGTTGAAGAAACCAGTACAAACGTATCATATGGCTAGATCTATTTCATGAGGCTACCTCCAGATTTTTTGGGGGGTTGGGTGGCTTAATGGTTAGCACGTGCGCGCTGTACCGTAAAGTCTGTCATTGAGTCAACTGGCGTGGTTTCGAATCCCCGCTTGTTCGTGACAAGGAGTAGGGTCGCCTGTCCAGCGTCGTGGGTTTTCTCCGGTACCTCCGGTTTCTTCCCACTGCTAAAGACTCCTACGCGCAAGTGAATTATTGAACTAAAATTAAACCATATGTTAGTCCCAAAATGATCTAGTTTGTGTCGAGTGGACGTTAAACCCCATTTCTCTCTCTCTCTCTCTCACCTCCCGATTTCGTCAAGGTCGCTGAGATGTACTAATGTTAGGGTTGTTGACGAGATTGTGGGTTAGGGTTTGGGTAAGGGTTAGGGCTAGGTCCAGGGTTAGGGTTTACATCTCGAGACCTTTGACCTAATCGGGAGGTTGCCATAAGAAATAGATCTAAACCCATGGAACAAGAACAGAGTATGACATCATCGCCGCCATCAAGTTTCATGGCGATCGTAAATGCAATGGCAGAGTCGCTCCCAAGAACAAGAGTAAAAGAAAAATGAAATGGGGTTTAACGTCCTACTATTCTGCTCCGACTGGGCTAATGAAGACAGACAGCGGCACTATGGCCTACTCTTATATCGAATGCCAACTGATCTTTTACGTACACGCCAATGTATACACGACACCTTGGTTTTGCCTCCCGCCCGCATGAATAGACAGCTATCCTTGGCAGACCCTCCATTCTGCATCACTGACAAGGGTAAGAATAAAAGAAAGATGAGCAGAGCCTTAGCGGAGACTAGGCACCGGTTTCACAAAACATTCTCAGGCTACAACTGTTCGTCTTATTTTAACAGAATGTACCAACTACATTAATAAGAAACTATGTGCATTTATTTTTTTTTTAGGGGGGGGGGGGTCAAAGATATTCCTCATAATGCTATTTCCCAATATCACGATTCGTGCTACGATTGTAATCGTGGTATTAATCGTGGTGTAATTGTGGTGAGTCTATCATGTCTTATCATATATTGAGGTCAGTCGTAGTAATCGTGTTGGTCGTATCCGAACGTATCTGCACGTAGCAGATCGTGGAATCAACGGGGACAATCCTATCGTAAGGCATCAGACGGCAGTGGGAACCCAATCTGATTGGATCTGACAAGTTGTATTCAAAGGTCGTGTCAGGGGTCGGTACGGGCGGTTTTTGACCCTATGACGTCAGACATCGATTAATCAACCAGCATTGACGTTTTTAGTGGTTTACCCACAGTTCCGTGCATTTCACGCCAAGAAGTCGCCGTAACAGACCGTTTCGTT